AATAATAATTGTTATTATAGTAACAATCATACATAACTTTTAAAAATTGTTCACATAAATGCTAAACGAGTTTAATTTGAACGAAAATAGTCTACAATATTTGAATTTTATTAAGGATTTTTATATTTAATAACAACTTTTGTTGCAATACTCACACCAAAATAAAAGACATTAAAAATAAATTCATTTTTATATTTACAATCACAAAAAAAATATTGCAAAAAGCGTTCCTTTTGTATATTTTTTTTTGCAAACTGTTTGTATTTATTTCATTATATATTTTGATTGTATTCTTGATCATAATAACTATTAGGGCGGAAAGACTGTGGTCAATAGCTCTTTTTATGTATATAGAAGCATATATTAATAACTATAATAACTATTATTTATTGCATATATAAAAAATACATATACAATGAGCTGTTCACCGTAGACTTTCTGCGCTTAATTAGTTATTTAAATATTGAAGATCATTGCACTCAAGTAATAAATTATGTTAGGAAATTTAATTAAATCATCTTTACGATTACTAAATTCTTTGTAAATACATTTTCAATACATCTGAAATGTACTATTGCAATTCATAATGTGCACTATGACATATGAGAAATGCTTGGATACATACATGTATATTATTATTTATGTGAATATTCATAGAGCATATGTTTAATGTTAATTGGTCGATACAGCACATGTAACTTAAATAATTGAAAACCAAAAACAATATACGAAAATATACATTTTTAGCGAGTAATTTGAATGCAATTATTTTCGGATCTATAGTTACAATAGCAAATAGAGCGAAGAAATCCATACGCGAGATCGTTGAATGAAACTATCTGCTAAATAGTTTACACGTCTGCAAATAGGCGATTAGCAGTCGTCGAACGAGAGGGAATTGCAGAACTTTTCCAATTGCCACTACCGTCGCCTATGTGGAAACAATGATTGCAATATTGCAAGATAAATGTTTTATTAGCCTTCCCTTTCCCCGGGTCCGCATTACTAAACATCTTCAACATGTTATATAGGTCACCGTTGATGTTTCCTCGGGCCTCCTCTGCGCGAACGGCATACATTGTTTGCGTGAAAAAATAAATAAAAGAAGGCAATCTCCTCCACGCTTCCTACGTTTTTAGTTAAAAGAGAAATACTCAAATAATAGTATGAGGACGAAGAAGAAGTAAACGTCTTTTTTGTTGTTGTTGTTGCTGTTGTTTGTAATTTATTGCATGCCAATGGGTCGGATTAAATAACGCGGAACGATCACTTTCTAAAGAAGACTCTCTCGATGTTTTAATTAATTCCAATACGAAAAAGGAATAAACACGAGTTCCTTACATAGACTTGAAAAAGTATGCGGAGACGCGTAGATATGACTCGAGGCCTTACACATGTAATTATCGTTTAGTCAGTATGATTTTGCACAGAAGAAAGCAATTATCAAAGAGTGTAATAATTTTTCAATATTAATCATGTTACTTTTCAAATTTAATATCATGTATTTAATAATTACATATTCCGAGTGATTTTTAAGAATGACGAGAATTAAAAAAAAATAAATAAAAGAAGGCACAATAAGTGTATATATACAAAATAAAATATCATAATTCAAGTATGCCACGTTAATCTTTAACTATAGGTTCAAGTGTGCCGTGAGATAAAATCAAAAGGTAGAAATATATTGCTCTGGAATCAATTATCCTTGATTCTAGATCAATTTTTTTCTACAAGAATTACAAATTGCAAGCATTATACTGAATGAAAATACATAATGTAACTAACAAATATTTTTAATACGATTCTTAGAATACCATCTAAATAAATACAAGTTAAGTTTGCAGCAGTTGCAAATTACCTTGTTCAATTTAACTTGATTTGCAAATGTATAAACCAGTGATGGCTAACCTATGATACGTGTGTGACACAAGACATTTTAGGTGATACGCATCGTGTATCGGATTTATATCACGTGACCCAGCAAGGCTTAAAAGATCACAAAATTATGGATATTTCTAGATGTGACAAGAGTTAAACTAGTTTTTTTTTCGAATTATCACGCACCTAGCTCCAAAACAATAAACAAAGGTACGCCATCACTGGTATAACAAATAAAATGAAATTTTGCAAAACTATTAAATATAGACTATATGAAGACAACTTATATATATTATATATATTATACTTCATTCTCTTTCAAATGTTTATCAACGAAATATTAGCAGTAGAGAAAAAAAAATTCTCGTTTATGAAATATAAATCACGTAGACAAAAATAGTTCTTTTCCGAATTAGTATTTCAAATGTCAACATCAAATCAGTTTTAATATAGAAAAAAAAGCAAATTATAAGGAATCTATTTTAGTAGAGCAAATTAACCTTAAAGATTTTTTGTTGACATTTCAATTGTGGCGGTCACGGAAACATAAAAATGAAAGAATAACGAATGTTTTTTTATGGAAGCAATGATCAATCAGGCACGTTTAATGCTCCATTGAATGTCATGCCAACGCACTTATAATAAACAGTTTTTGTTGCCGAACAATTGAAAGTCGAGCGAAACGGTGAAATCCAAAAATTTCGAGAGGAAGAAATATGTTCGAAAAGAAGACGAACAGAATGGAACAATATTCAGCGCACGCTTTGAATGGTATTTATATATTTTTTGTAAATAAAGTAAATACATTATTCAAACTAGTTGACTCGGGGGGAGAAGACGTTCGTTCCCAGTAAGATTCAAATCTAGAATATCTTGCATTCTATTCACCTCCAAGAAGAACAAAAAAAGAAGGAGAATAACTACTCCGGACATATAACAATATTTTTCATGAATTCATTCGTCTAGAAATAAATGGAAATTAGTTTGATTTAATCAATTAAATCCGAAACATGATTCGATGAAAAACAGTGCGCTGTTAACAAACCGGGTTGCCATGGTAATCAGCTAATTTATATGCCTACCCTGTAGGCGGTAACCATGGTGACCTTTCGAATCTGCCCTTTCGTACGAGCCAAATCGAATGGTCCTACGCTGAAATAGAAATCAATAGATTCGTTTATGTACGTTATTATTCAATGTAAAATTTGTATGTATTTTAACAACTTCACTCATCGGCATTTCCTTATTAAAGTTAAGAATGTTGTTGATAATTAAATATAGTAGAATGGTGAAAGCTATCGGTTTTATGAGATAAATAAATTCCAATGATAATATAGACATTTTACAAATTCCACAGTTGATGGAATTTACATCGTCATACTAAATATATGATTTTAATACTATTAATTATGATAATAGTTAATTAAAAGTAGAAAATATTTACAGCTATGTGGTTTATTACTAAGATGAATGTTACGTAACAATTGTTAGATTTAGAAGTTAGAAAAATGATTGAACCAGTAATAATTTCAGTTTGCAAAAAATAAAATAATTAAATAACTAACTACTTATATATAATTGAATAGTGATAATAGTGAAAAAGATTGAAATATTTTGAAAAAAAAATCAAATTAGTAAAAAAAATATTGTTTTAAACAAGGAATGTTGAGAAAATGATATATCCGGTTCAGAAGAAAAACATCTTTTGTCCACAACAACAAAATGCTACAAATATATAAGAATACATTTGTACATTATATTATTATGGAAATATTTAATCAGATATAAACGAAAATCCAGCAGAAAAAGCATTAAAATACATGAGGATATCCAAATTTGAAAATAAAATAACATAAACCAAGATAAAATTAATTAATTGGTGGTGAAAGTCATCGAAATGAAATATTTATTTATGCTAAAATATATAAAGGATCCTCATTTTATACGTCTTTCCAGAATTATAGTTTTTAATGTTCTAAATTAATACTGATTCGATTAATTATTAGAATTTAAATTATATTCATAAACATGAATTATCCAATTTATATGTATTAATAAATAGTTAGTAAAATAATGTAGTTTAATCTAAATTGTTGTGTGTTTTGTTATAGTATTCGTTTAGTGGGATCATTTTAAAAAGCAAATGATTAGGACCTTCTTTGTGGATAGATGTCATTCTAGTATTAACGTTTTTGTTTCTAAATGGATGCTAATTATAAATTCTATGAATTCCAAAATACAAATAATTTATAAACAGTTAGTATAATAACGCTATTTGAGTAACAATGAATTGTTGTAATTATTTCCATAGAAACATATATGTTTAGTAGGGTGCAATGTTAAATGCAAATGAAACGGATCCTCATTGCGGATAGATGTCTTTCTAGTATAATAGTCTTTGCCGTTTCTAAATGGATGCTGATCCCAGAGATAACCTTTCGAGTGAGACAGGCTCGCATCTTCGGTTCTCCGAGAGAGTGTGTGTCTGGCGTAAACACAACGTCTATTTACCATCAAAGACTAAACATAAACATTTGCGCGTGTGTTGCTTCGGAAAGGGAGCCATCGAAGAAGGAGACGAGAAGGCAAAGAAAAATAATGGAATTATGCAATTGACGATTTATGTATTCCGTGCGGGAGGCATAGCAACGTGTGTGAGCGGTTTCGCTGAAACTCTCACACTTTCATCATCATCAATGATCATCATCGACTTCTTCTCTACCTTCAGGCGCCCCCCACGCACTCATGCACACACACACATACACAATCCACGCAATGTTTATTGCTTTGCTATATTTAAATGTGAAAGTATTTTTAAATAGCGAAAGGTGAATCGGCTGCGTTATTTATCAACATTCCCGACCTCTGACATTAGATAATGAGAGGGGCAAAATACCAATATCAAAGATGCCTTCGTCTCGGCGCGCTTCCTCTCACACACGGCCCGACAAACATCACAAAAACAAACCAATTTGCTAATTCGGTTGTCTAACCTAGAAAAAGGTTTTCGCAAAATGTCACAGGTATTATTGTCTTCGATAAATATTAATGTGCGTACATAAATAAACACGTTTAAGAGCTAACATAGTAATAGGATATAAATATTATATATGAAGCAGTACCTGGCATGCCGCTCGTCCTTTGTCCCATTACTAAACAAGACCACATCAATTGTTAAAAACCATGTTCAATCTTCGCTCCGCACTTTGGTAATAGGCATACGCAAGTCTGCAACTCAAATATCTGGATGTCCCACCTCGCGCTCTCGCATCGCTTCTCCTGCATGTATGATTGTTATGCTACAACTAACGTTTATTCAATCTTAAAACAACAACAACATCAACAAAAAGACAACAACTGTCGGACCGATAAAACTATATATATAATTCTCTCTTTCGCTTTCAATGGACGTCGCGGATATCTTCTGCTAACATCTTCGATGCCACGCCGAGCACTGAACTATCCGCAGACCAAATCCACCGATAAAAACAGCTCAAATTTATCAGCGTTTTTCAACATTATTGGTATTATCATCATCATTTTGACAGATCTACTCTTGGAACAGACGCGAAGTTGTAACCAGTTCCCACGCTTCTTCTTTAACACGAAGTGCCATCACCGTCCTTCAAATCCATCTAATCCCACATATGAATACACAAAACTTAAGAACTTTTAATTGATTAATTCTCCAAATTTTATCTGAAGTCAACTACTCATATCCCACATATAAATGTAGAAATACTATATGCTAGTAGTTGGCAATATATTAAAAGTTTAATTTTTAAATCAAAAACAATTTGTACATCAATCAATTTTCTTAAACTTGATCAATAATCACTCAAATTTTGTTGCACCTATGTCAAATATCGAACTGTGATATATGCAACCACACAGACGTAATCTGTTGAACTTAAATATCAGTTAAAACAATACTAGTATTTTCAAAATCAACTATATACAATAATTGGATATATCTTATTAGAACTATCGATGTATCTTATAAGATTTCTAGTGTATAATAAGTTGCATATGCATATACTTTATAATAACTCTACCAGAGGCCGCCTTCGGACGGTCTTCCACAGCGAGCTCCAAAATATTTAAAAAAGGCGCGAAGATATTTCGGTTAAATTCGGAATGTGAAACCGAGACATAAGTAAGCAAACACTTAAACCACTTAAGAATTGCGTTTTGGAGAAAATGCAACGAAGACTTTATTTTCCAAGTTGTTTAATTTAGAATGGTATTATTTACTGTATAGTGAGTGTTTTAAGAATAATTGATTAAATTAATCATACCCAAGACCAACAATGATTTGAATATTGTAAGTACAAACTTCTAAAATTATTGTCAAAATCACCAATGATATGCAGTTTAATAAGAATATCTTTCTTAAATTAATCGGTAGTGAACAAACCCCGTTGTATTACCATACGGAGCATCGGTTATTACAAGAAAATATAGTTAAATAAGAGTGAACAAATCTTGATAAACCTGTTTTTCGTCGCCCTTAATATATCAGAATTTTTCTGCAGCGCCCCAAGTCAAAACATTGGTGTATCTCAGGGCAAACTTTATGTTAATATATCAGAATTTTCGAGGCGCCCCTGTGGTCCAACCACGGCGCCACGGGGTGCTCTGTTTAGGAACCCCTGTGTTATTTACGATAGGGGGCGCAGAATTTGACTTTTTTCTTTCTTGCCACTGTCGCTTCATTCCCTCGATACCGTTCGGACAGTTTAATATATTCAAGATCAGGAATCGGATAACTGCAAATATTTAAATATTTGGATGTAGTTGTAATGTAAATATGAAATTTAAATTATATAGATTGTTGCTATAAACATTGTAGTAATGTGTGATTTTGTCAAGTTAAAAATATACATTATTTCAAAATCTAGTAATTAATCCAGCCCGTTAATAATAGGGGCTGGATCCGCGGCGTGACAATTGTACCACTGAATGACAGATGCTTATATGAGTCATAATTTTTGACATTTTTCCTTATTTCTAATCTATTGACACTGTCAGTAAGATTTCAGCAAAACAATTGCATCGGCCGGGAATCGAACCCGGGCCGCCCGCGTGGCAGGCGAGCATTCTACCACTGAACCACCGATGCTTGTATGAGTCATCACTTTGACATTTTTTCGCCATTTCCGGTTTGGTACTACCATAGACAGCAAGATTTCAGCAAAACAAATGCATCGGCCGGGAATCGAACCCGGGCCGCCCGCGTGGCAGGCGAGCATTCTACCACTGAACCACCGATGCTTGTATGAGTCATCATTTTGACCTTTTCAGTTAGGCTGTTGGTGTTCATGATAATCATCTATGCGGGCGTATGTCTTTAGGATTAATCTGTGTTCATTTGTTCCGGGTGGTCTGTAGATGTTTTTGGTTGGTGTCACAGGTACTAAACCACACTGGTTCTTATCGATGTATAGATGATGAGCTTGTTCTTCTTGTTTTATCCGCTCCAACTTGCCATTAGGCATCGAGGCTCTTCAGTAAGTCGCATAATATGCCAACATACTTCTTGATGTGCATTCTATAAGTTAGACGACAAGACGATGTTGATACCTAGATATTTAATTCCGTGTTTTTATTTGCTTTTTTTCGGTTGAAAATTGCGACGTCTGTCTTTCCGGTGATAACATTAACCTTAGGTGAATTTTGACTTTCTTTACGGTCTTGATAGAGTCATCAGAGGTATCGTAGATCGCAGTATCATCTGTTCTACTTTAGTGTTAATGGATTTTGGAATATCGTTGATATAAATGGAGAAACGCAACGCTACTAGCAAAGCTCCTTGCGGTACTCCGGCATGAATCTTTCGCATGTTGCTGGTGGTGTCGTTTAATTTTACCTGTAGTGATCTACCTGAGAGATTCGAGATGATTGTCCTAATCCATATATTGGGCAATTTGATATTGATTAATTTGTGATGAGATCGTTAGTCCACACGTCAAAGACTTTATCGAGATCAAGGAGAAATACTGATGTCACTTTGCGTTAAATCCCATCGCCATGCCATTTGCTAGTCTTACCACCTGATGGACGGACGATACCCGAACTACTCATTTGTGATGACTTTGTTCTCATCCAGGTGCTGCTGGGGTGATAATTTCACTTGACACCAGAGTGGAGTTTTGAACTGATTCATTTTCCCCAGTTTTTTAGTCCACAAGTCCTTGTTTCCAATTTTATCTTTGCGGATAGATAATTCATCTCTGTTCTTTCCAGACTAAGGCGAGTACGTTGCCAACGGCTTTTAGCAAGATTACGATTACGATCAAATGTGATAGGGTCGTGATCACAGCTCGTCCACTGTTCGTGACTGCGACATTTTTACTCCTTGATTGAACCACGACGGTTGCTGGCCATTCCATGGAAAATGGATAGGTTCATCACTAAACATATTTGTGCACACTATGGTGTGATTGTTGACCACTTGGCCACTACTATTGCTTCTATTTTAACACTGAACCAATGCTTGTATGGATGATCATTTTAACATACTACATACTACAATAAATAGCAAAACAATGCATCGGCCGGGAATCGAACTTGAGCAGCCCGCGTGGCAGGCGATTTGATTGATAGATTTTTCTTTATTATATAAAACTTTGGTGCCTTTCGGTTATTTACACTGTATGTAATCCATTCTTGATCGAGGTCCTACAAGATCATTTCCTTTTTTAAAATAAAAAATATATTCAGCGTTTTCTTGTATATTGTGGGGAAAATTTGGTAAAGATTGAATGTTTTGAAAATAACCCTCTGCAATTGTGGCAGGCGAGCATTCTACCACTGAACCACCGATGCTTGTATGAGTCATCATTTTGACATTTCTCGTCCTTTCCGGTTTGGTACTACCATAGACAGCAAGATTTCAGCAAAACAACTGCATCGGCCGGGAATCGAACCCGGGCCGCCCGCGTGGCAGGCGAGCATTCTACCACTGAACCACCGATGCTTGTATGAGTCATCATTTTGACATTTTTCGCTTTCCGGTTTGGTACTACCATAGACAGCAAGATTTCAGCAAAACAACTGCATCGGCCGGGAATCGAACCCGGGCCGCCCGCGTGGCAGGCGAGCATTCTACCACTGAACCACCGATGCTTGTATGAGTCATCATTTTGACATTTTTCGCCACTTCCGGTTTGGTACTACCATAGACAGCAAGATTTCAGCAAAACAACTGCATCGGCCGGGAATCGAACCCGGGCCGCCCGCGTGGCAGGCGAGCATTCTACCACTGAACCACCGATGCTTATATAAATAATTATTTTATATTATTTTAATGCGTCAGGGTCCTTAATTATTACTATTAGTCAATTTGAGCACACGTTACGCACTTTCCCGAGTATATCTAAGCCCATGTTCTGTTTTTTGTACGTGGGTCGCCTTGTAGCCAGTCACTGACACTCTCTACCTGTCTACACATTCGATATGCGACTAGAGCTGTTAGTATGCCGCGAGAGGACTTTAGGGGAAACTGTTTTGTCCACTAACGTGTAGTTTTGGTTTTTCAGTGGGTGCGAGAGAGATAACTCGTGGGCATGACTAGACGTTATCTCAATGTGATAAATAATTTAGCAGTTATCCCGCCTGTATTGATTTTGGTTTTATTTTAGAAATACATCTCAATAATTTATAGACGTATTTATTTTCGAGGTCCGAGAAAATGTTAGGTTAGGTGAAGTTACCTTAAGGTTTTATGTTAAATATATACAAATAATTTTGTTATATGGGTATTTTCATATCCAGTGGTCTAGGTCAAGTTTCGGTTAGTTTTTTTTTTAAATAACATTTTAGTGATATGGTTATTAAATTGGTGGAAATAACGTCTAGTGACTTTAGGTATGTAGTGATTTTTTAAAGATTTTCCTAATTAAAAAATCCTCAAAATTTAAGTGTGGCTCGAAAATTGGTCTTTAGGACAAATGCGCAGAGCCGGCGTAAAGTTTTGTGGCGCCTGGTTCAAATATTGTTTCTTAACCGCCGGTGTGAAATTTGATAATTATATATTCATTTTCAATTTTAAATGTCTTTGCTCCATATTTATTTTACGCACGACTATTTTGTCTGTATTTACAATTTTATTTATTACTTTTAACGTTTTTTTTCCAGTGTGGTGACGAAGAAGCAGGTAAAGAGGTACCAATCATCTTTTCGATTCTGAGAACCCTGACCAGAGTAATTAAACAGTATCTAGAGACAACGCCACAATGAAAGTTCAACCCAAAAAGTAATTATTCTCTTTTCCTTGCGCTCCTATTAAATGATCCTTCCTCACACTTCCTACACCTTTGCAACGCACCTTCTACCAATTTAATAATATCTAAGTACAACACCTTCATAATATCTATGAACTGCAACATGTACGCTACGATTAATAGAGATCGCAACGTTACAATTTGCACCAAAGCTTTACCTCCTGAACGTCTGAATAAAAACAGAGAAGCATGTTTATCGTGTCTGCATTGTGACCATCTACGAATAGCATCGCTTTTAGATGTACCGAAAACAACGATCATATGCATCTGGATCATCCATAAAAAGCATTTCCAATGGATTTCACTACACATCAACTTGAAACACTTTTCTTCAGCACTTATTACCATCTGCGTTTTATTATTTACTGCATACAATTTATATTTCTTTGCGATTAAAAATTGGGTTATTGTGTTTCTCTACTTTTCGTTAAGAACTTTTACGCAATGCCATTTTGCTATGGTAGTTTTTTGTAATAGACAAACATGCAACATTTCAGCAAAACAATTGCATCGGCCAGGAATCGAAACCGGTCCACCCGCGTGGCAGGCGAGCATTCTACTTCGGCCACTTCCGGTTTGGTACCATAGAAAGGAAGATTTCAGCAAAACAACTGCATCGGCCGGGAATCGAACCCGGGCCGCCCGCGTGGCAGGCGAGCATTCTACCACTGAACCACCGATGCTTGTATGGGTCGTCATTTTGACGTTTTTCGTCACTTCCGGTTTGGTACTACCATAGACATCAATATTTCAGCAAAACAACTGCATCGGCCGGGAATCGAACCCGGGCCGCCCGCGTGGCAGGCGAGCATTCTACCACTGAACCACCGATGCTTGTATAAATCATCATTTTTGACATACTCTGTCACTTCCGGTTTGGTACTACCACTGTCAGTAATATTATAGCAATACGATTGCATCGGCCGGGAATCGAACCCGGGCCGCCCGCGTGGCAGGCGAGCATTCTACCACTGAACCACCGATGCTCTTACGAATTATTATTTTGGCATTTTCGGCCACTTCCGATTTAGAACTACTATAAACATCAAGATTTCAGGCGATTTTGGTTGATTTTTAATGTAGAAGCGCTGCGCTAGGTGTTGTACATATTCTTGAATCCGAGGAATTAATAAAGATAGTAAAAAGCAGTGGGGCTAATACCGCTCCATGCTGATATATCCATTTTGCTACTGAGGTTGTTATTCAATTTTACCGCCAGCTGTCTGTCTGTAAGGTAGTTGTAAATTAGTTTGTAAATTAATCCATCGATCTACATCGATTAAACGTTTTTTCCAGATCTAGGCGTGACCTTGTTGCTGTTATAGCTCATTGAAATGTCATTTGCCAACTTCAGCACTTGATAAACAAAGCTATGAGCTGATCTGAATTAATATTGTTCTTTGATGATGTTGTTTTTTTCAGTGTGTTGGAGTAGCTTTCTGGCTACTTCTCTTTCTAGGATTTTACTTAGGCTATCGAGAAGTCTTATCGGTAGAGGTTTTCCAGGTTTACGGATAAGGAATACCACGGCGTATTTTCATTTCTTAGGGAAGGTGGAAGACGACCAATGCCTTCCGCGATGAGTTCGGCTTTGCTTTGATCGCTGGTGGCAATCCGGACGAATTTGGATGTGAGTCGTCTCACCTGACGCCATAGGGATTGAGATTTCTCAAGCCACGGTGGCGTTACGGAATACACTGAACATAGTTCGTGGACGGTTTTTGATGTTGAAGTATATACTCTATTGAACACCAAGTGGATAGTCGTTGGGAAAGAGCCGATGGTCGAGAAGTGCATTGGTTCATCCGTAAACATAAGTATCGTTTTTGTTTTGGTGGTATGTTAGAATATAGCATTCCAATTAGAGTTGAGATCTCCTATTAATAAGGTTTTTCCCGGATCATAATGGCTTCGATTTCTTATGATTTTATTATTGTTGTTGGCTGTATGATCCTATGATTCTGATATTGATCACTAGCTAGATGGCGATAAGTTTCAATATGGAGTCGCTAGATGGCCTCTTGATTTTAGTTTGTTGCTGATCAGATTTAGGACACCTCCGCCACATTTCTGCGGGCAGACGAACATTCCACCACTGAACCATCGATCGATGCTTGTATGTTATTATTTTTGACATATTCTGATACTTCCGGTTTGGTATTACCAACGTCAGTAGTATAGCAATACAATTGCATCGGCCGGGAATCGAACCCGAGCCGCCTGCGTGGCCGGCGAGCATTCACATTTTTGTCGACTTCCGGTTTGGTACTACCATAAACTTGGCTTGTGCTGGAAGTGTTTGAAATATTTAGTATTCTTGCCGAATCAAAGTGAACGAGAAGTTCTAAGATTGTCGCCTATATAGGGAATGCAAAGCGAAACAATTTACTACAATAAAATGAAATATATTTTGTTTTTTTATACACATGTTTAGATATAAATTACAATATTAGGCATAAATTAAAAGTTCCATTAGAACCTCGTTAGCGCGCTCTAAAACTTAAAAATACACTTTCAACACAAATTCTGCTTCACCGCTGCAATATTCATATATAAATGGTGCCAATTTACGGACACCCTGGAAATAATATCATAATAATTACATATCTGGCTTCATTCTCTGTAAATATTTAAACTTAAAATACGTAATATGTAGAAATATACAATTATTATTTTATCATTATCATCATCATCATTATTAGTAGTAATATTATATATATTTATATTATTCTGATAAAATGAGTTCCCTTAAAATTTCACGCTGGTAATCATCGAATATGGAACGAAAATAATAAATCATAATCATAACCTGTTAGTATAATACTTGATAGATAATAATACTAAGTGTACGCGAAAAAGTTTAAGGGAAGCGTATAAAGGGAGGGTACATTTAAAAAAGGGTGAATATACTTTTGATCCGCTTAGGGTTCGCTTCTCCTTTTCTTCTTCATATATATGTAAATGCTAACAACATTTAATTATTTACTTTAGTTCTTCAATTATTACTTTTTTCTTCTATATATATATTATAGTTATTATTAGTTTATTTCTTTTCTTTTAAGATTTAATCGTTATTTTTAAACTTTTCACCCTGTAGTTTTATTATTCTGTTCGTCCGCTTCGTTCTCTTAAGATGGTCAAGGAGTATAAATACAATTCTACAACTAACGTGGATGTCATTATCATACGATTCAATATATCCGTAATAAATTAAATTACATTCGTAGAAATATGGTTCTTATACAAGTGTTTAACACATTCAACTATATACTAAAAATTAGTAACCATATATAAGAGTTATGCCGCTATTCACAATTCTAACAATTCTTGTCTCATCAATTTCTTGAAATCCGTGGGATGGGGTTCGTCTCGTGTCCATTCGATACACATTTAATACATATAATAAATTACATTAAATGCGACCGGATAATTGGAGCCTTGATTTGCATGTTTATCATACAGAAATTGGCTACTCCAATTATCCATCGCATGTTTGTTTCTTTTAATTAATGGTGTTCGCTTTTACAGTGGGGAAAATGCGCTCTCCGTCTTGTAACTCAATCACTCGATTAATCGTATTGTATACGAGAAGTCGAGTACACTGGTGGGTGTTTGTATTACCACCAGTGCATGAGTTCCATCCGGATATGCATCTTCTGTCGAATCCATAAAATAAAAAGGTATGCGAATGTGGTAATGGTAACGAAGTAGAGGAACGCCGATAGGATGCAGTGGGCATCGTGTCGTGGATGCTGGTGCTTGGCGGAGCCGAGCGTTGGGCTGTCATAGCTCTCCACGACGATGCTGTCACTCTCGTCGGCGGCGAAGTCCGTCATTTGCAGCTGCCTAGTATCGTTCTCCACGAAAAAGGTCAACTTGTACGGTTGATTCTTCGGCGCCGGCGGCACGGATGGTTGCAAGTTCAGCACGTGATTCCCAGCTGGGTCCTTCAGGTCTCCATCGCCGGGTATCGCGAGCTGCGCACTCTCCTCCAGTCGCGAGTGCGTGTTAGAATTGTGAGTAGCGGCTTTTGTCAGTCAGTAGCATTTCTTCGTGCACGCACATTTGCGCACGATGTCGATGTCTTTGGTGTAACGAGTACCATCGTTACATATCAAACGGACCTAAGATATAAACATAGAATTACTATTACCGTCTTCAAACAACTGACCAACAACAGATAACTCACCTTCCTCCTCTTGCTGTTCCGTGGGTTGCAGCAGGTCGAACCGCATCCACCGACACACTTGGCCATCTTCAAAGGCTTCCTTGATCTGCAACCATTCTCGGTGTAGTACTCCCTGACTTGCGCCTTTCTGCAAGTCGGTGCTGCAAATACAACAATACATATAATTTCACCTTCCAAACATCAATTTGTATTCTTCATTTCAGATTGCCCAAAGTTTAAATTAAGAGATTTATATGACTCGTGAGAGAATTCTAAGATTGCCACTATATAGACTCATACGCTATTAAATATTAGAACTATATACAATGTTTATATTACAAAAAGCAATTATTTATAGAGCGAATACAACAACGGTGGTCATTTTATATTAGGTTTAAGCAATGAAAGTGTAAATATGTATGGATGATATATATTTAATGTTAAAATAATACAATTAATAATAAACATAACCCTTTATAAATTTTACCTATTACACGGTAAATGATTAACCCGCGAAAATCGAAGAAAAACTATTAACATAATGTTTGTTAATTTTTATTTCTCGGAAATTGAAAGTGATATTGTGTATGAAGATGTGTTAATATAACTGATAACTAAACTCCGATAAATGGAAAATGATTTCGTCTATCTTCTATCTACTATATACTTAGCCGAAGATTACGTTTTAATAATAAAGTTGTTGGTGCTTGTGTTTTATATTTTCCATTAAAAGATTAGATTAATTTATTATATATAATAAGTATCTATCTACGCCCGATTATCAGAAATAAATATTACTAGGACATTTCTATTCCAGCCTCATTAATATGGGCAGGAAAATAGAAAAACCTGTAAGATTTGTCAGATAAAAGAGTGTAATTTCACAATAAATGGACCCCACTTCGCAAACTTCCAACGACATATTGAGAGTTTTCATCACGCCGAATATGAAGAACTTCAAAAACCTCTCAAAACAACCACCGACTAAAAAAAGAACATTTTAATTTCAACTGGAGTTATCGGAACCGAACCGAAACTGAACTGAAATGTTTAGAAGAACCGAAACCCAATCTGGAACGATAAACATTTACTTGGAACGTAACCGTAAACCGGAACGAAATTAATTTCGGTTCTACACTGATTAAAATGATTTCATATTTGTTCATTATTAATTATGTATTTCAATGCATTTTGCTTTTTTATTAAGTAAATGTGTATACGTTTATTATTTTTGTTTGTTAATGTTTTAAACATGTGTTACAACTTAATAGGTTATTATTAAAAGCCCTATTGCACACAAACATTTCATTTAAAAAAATACTAATAATTTACTTGTTTACCATTTAAAGTTAAACAAAAATCACGGAAATTTTGATTACGTTAAATGTACAGCAATTTAACAACTTATTATTATGCGGTAATTTTTGTATGAATGTGTATCATATATTATATTTATTCTTGTTATTACAATTATTACTTAATCATTTGTATTTTTTTTTTAATTTAGTTGTATAAGAAAATTGTACAACATATGCAGATAGTAAAAAGTAACGACTTATTTGTAATTAAAATATTGTCGAATTGTGAACAAGCATTTTATTCCCACTTGAAATATTTTTTTTGTTGGAATTGTTTTTCTTTGGTCTATAATTGATATGTATTTATTCTTTTTATCGGTGTTTCCCAACCTTGTGTGTTGTAAATTGTGGTGTATGTGCTATGTGGCAACCCTGATTATGAATTATGATCATTGGTCATGCGGAATTAGAACATGCTTAATAAAATGGTATAGAAAGTTAGCCCCACCGTGCCTCCGTGGATTGTTGTACTTACACTCTTCCTCACCTTGTTCGCAGTACTTGCCCTTAAAGCCAGGTCGGCATCGGCACATGTACTCGCCGGCCCTCGTCGGAACGCACTTGCTGTCGTGCTTGCAATGGTTGGTTTTGCATGGATCTGGAGGGCCGTCGTTACCCGGCTCATCCACCATAGTATCCATCTCATCTTCCTGCTGATCTTCATCCCTTTCGGTTTCGGGATCCATAACCGCACAACCCGGAGTCACTTTCTGTTGAATGGCTGCGTTCCCAAAATCCACCTGCTTATGGTTAATCCATACTTCTTTCATGCAACCTACAAATACAATTTATTACAGTAATATTCACCGCAATGCATCTATAAAATTACCTCTGAAACTTGTCAAATTTCTCAAATGCCATTGGGTAAAGGCCTGCTGTCCCGGCTCGGAAGGAATTCCACCCAAGTACATCGGGGTATTCAACCTTAGGAAGTCCTTGGAGCCTTCATTGATAATGGATCTAGCCAGACCGCGATCCACTCTCAAAGTGAAATTCTTTTTAATCGCAATCAATTCAGCGGTGTGGTAATGTCCATCAGCCACCATCTCGAAACTACAAAGAGATAGAACAATTATAGAAAATCAATATTTCATTATGAAAATCAATGAATAATCATACCTGTACATGGTTGAAACCGGATGGTTTCCGACATCGTAACTGATTCTGATTCTGCCGTTGAACAACTCCACAGCCAAATGCTCTTGATGGCCATCGTACACCAACACGCCGTTCTCTTGGGTAGTTGAAAAGACTATAGTTACGTTAGCTTCTGGCTTCGTTCTCAACGGTTCAAGCTCGATGTACGATGTGTTATGTATGAAACTCAGGCTGGTCAAGTATTCGCAACGTTTTCCTGTAATCATTTCGAAATGCATACGCTCAAATATTAAGTGATTCTGTAAGCAAATCTGTAACTCACCCGAATAACCGGGCGCGCATTTGCACAAATAATCATTGGAACCGCTCGGCTGGAAGCACACCCCGTGAACGCAGTCGTGGTGTTGGCATGGCGACGTCTGAGGGTACATCATAGCTACCAGCGGCATGATTTCGCAGAGTTTTCCAGTAAACTCTCCGGTGCATTTGCATTCGTAATTGTTAGTACCGTCAACGCAGGTCGCTCCATTCTGCGCACAACAACAAACACAAAACTAATATTACTAATTGCATACAATTAGTTTATACAACAAATATATACATTAATCTAGTATATAAACATTATTAAATATCTTATTTTAATAACACATAACAGTACAATTATTTCAAAAATATTTAGAAAATTTCCATGATTTTTAATTAAAATGAACTGAATTTAAAAATAACATCTTTAGATGTAATTGAATCAATAAAACTTTTTTATTATTATTTCTTTGATTCTATGTTTTCACAAAACTAATTTTGAATTTAAATTCAAATCAACGATATATTTTTAAAAATAGTATAAACTAATAAAATTCAAATTTTCACCTTATTTAGTGAAATAATAAGCAATCAAATTAAACTTTTAAAATCTATTAAATGGAAATAAGAATATGATTTATAAATTTGGCTTTCCTCCTCATGGAAAGAATATTAATATAGTTGCACACACGTAATATTATGTAGAAAACGTATTTTATAAAATATTTTAGTATGAAAATATAATATTGTTCTTTTCTTTTCAAATATATGGAAGAGATGCGGCTTTTTAAGATTACTCAATTTTTCTTCACTATTTCCCATGACAATACAAATATTGATTTTCATCGAAATTTCGTACCCAGAGGATCCACAAAAGAAGTAAATTGAATACTGAACGTTAGAAACAGCTATTATATAATCATTTGAAAGAAATATTGTTTTTTTTATTGATATTTGAAAATGTTTTATTATCTTTATTTATGTTCCTTGAATCCTTGATTTTGTTTATGTTAAGTGGTGTATATAGTTACCAATATAGTTTGATAATTGCAGATTAATAGAAATTACATTTTAGAAGAAGCATGGAAACTTACAAGATTAACAAATAATGACATAAATTAAAGTCTAGTTTTCCTTGAGAAGAGTTGACTTATTGTAAGTATCTTTTGATACAATTATAATGTATAGTATATAATTGTGCAAAAAAAGTTTATGGTATAACGATCAAAATATTATTTAAATATACAAGTTTTTAGAAAACTGACTTACCTGACACATGTGATTTTCGCAGTCATCGATGTTGATAGTACAGTTATCACCCTTGAATCCGGGCAGACATTCGCAGGTATAATAAGTGTCGTGATCCACGCAGCGAGCGCTGTTCTTGCAAGGATTGAAGTCGGATGTGCAGAATGGAATTTTCGTTTCACAGTATTGACCTGACGTATAAGAAAGTTCAATTAGACTCTATAAGTCGTTAATTTTCTTATAAATATACTCAAAGAAAATTAGTAATTTTCCATATATATTTTTTTTTTGGGACACAAAACCTCGCATGCGATAATTTATAACCCGTCGCATACCTTCGGACATTAACGTTAATTATTATTAAAGAAATGAGTATCCTGCAGATGTAGATAAAACAGTTTATGGCGAGCTTAAACTTGTTTATGTGTACATTAACGTTGAAATTTGTTCATAAAGTTGATAATATCTGACACGAGAGACGAAATAAAAAAATAGTTTTTGTATGGTGTAAAATATGATACTGTAAGAATTATAACATAACTAAGTAATATTGTTTAATTAACATAGAGAAAACTAAGAACAATTCAAGTTTATTAATCGTTATTTTAAAGTATTTGAGATATAAATTCTAATTTTATTGTAAGAAGAAATTCGTATCTATTTTTTCCAGTTGTGTACTTTCAACTTTTATCTATCTAGTTAATAGTTGTGAAATAATTGATAATTTAAATACCTAAGAATTATTTTTATCACATTTGAAAAAAAGTTGATAATTCTTAATACAGTACTTTCTAAGTAATTTCTACTTATAAAAGAACAATTACATTGTATAAACCTTAAAATAAATAGTAGTAGTAATTCTTTTTAGCCGATAATGTGATCGTCAAAGATCATTATTGTAATAAAAGAAGGTAAGGCATAGTATTGTTTACTTACCCATAAATCCGGCCTGGCATTTGCATTGGTAGGATTCCACCTGATCGATGCATGTGGCATTGTTTTGACATTTGTTGTTCTCGCAGTCATCGATGTTAGTCTCGCATCTTAAGCCGTTGTAGCCGGGAACGCAATCACAACTGAAGATGTACGATAATAATTAGAAATTACATAATAGAGACTTGTTAATGAAGTCATACCTGAATCTTCCCTCTTCCAGGACTTTGCAAGAAGCATTGTTGCGGCATGGATTGCCATAGCAGGCGTCGATCATAAACTCGCAGTTTTTACCATGGTATCCTGGTGCACATATGCACTGGTACTCACGTTCGGGTAGAGCAACGCACTTACCCTCATTCTGACATGGGAACGTGAAGCAGGTGTCGCATTTGGCCAGTATCTCGTTGCTGATTTTACCTGCAATTGCATAAGAACACATTGCAACGGACAGCAATTGATTGATTGAATCGAGATTACCTTTGCATTGGAAGGCGGAGGATGGCGTGGACAGGATGAACTTGTCCTTCATGTTGACGGGTTCCGCGCATCGGGCGATGCCTGGCTCTACGTAATCCACTTTGACCCATTCGGCGAGCCAACGCAGGTTGCAATCGCAGTACAAAGGATTCGCCCCCAACGCGCTGAAAACACAGAGTAAAAGCAAAATCCATATGCAATAAAGAAGCCTTTGACTCACATGTGCGTGATTGATTTCAGATTGGCGAAAGTACCTTCCGGTATCATCGAAACTTGATTTGCGTGGAGGGATCTGCAACAAAAAAAAAGAAAGAGACGGACCGAGAAATCCAATTATAGTGAAGGCGAGCGACGACGTGGAGTCGGGGCGGACTTACAGGATCCTGAGGGATTTCAGACCGGCTAGGGAGTCTCTTTGAATGCATTGCAATTTGTTGTAACTTATTATCAGGGTCGAGAGTTTCGATAAGTTCGCGAACGTGTCGTTTGACAGTATTCCCACTTGGTTGTTGCTCAAATCGCTGTAAAAGTTTGATTTGAAACTTGAACGAATAAAAAGAAATAGTCAAATAAACTTACAGCCTCGTCAAAGATTTCAAATGGCTGATCCGGTCCGCTTGGATACTCTGTATTTCGTTCACGTCCAAGTACCTGAGAATACATTGAGATTAAAAAGAAGGGTTGAGGTTTGAATGGGGGAAGAGGTTCTGGCCTCGAGCCGAAACTTACAGCTCGGATGTTTCAGGTGGGATTCCCCTGGGTATCTCCTTCAGCTTGGCGCGGGTGCATCGCACGACGGTGCCGGTGCAGGAGCACATGGGCGGGCAATAATTCTCCCCCAGGCATCCCTGATCGTTGTCGCCTGCGGCACGAATAAAATAAATAGGGATTAAATGGATGCGTTCGCGAGGGAGCAAAAGGGGGGCAATGCACTTACTGGTGCATTTGAACTCGCTCTGCGGTAGTTCCTTGATCAGGACGTCCTTCACGCGTGGCGGCATAGCGCACTTCGGCGCTGATCCGCTTAAGCCCTTGCTCTTCAGCCACTCCGAGAACCAAGCCAGATGGCAGTTGCAGATGAAGGGATTCTGGACCAAATTCCTACAAGCGGTAAATGCGTTAATGCACACACACAGTCCGAGGATTTATTTAATTTTAAACACTTACAGCGTATGCAGCGATGTCAGGAAATCGAATGATCCGGGCATGACGCAAGTGATCTCGTTGTTGTTTAGGGAAAGGACCTTCAGGCTGTGCAGCCCGAGGAACATCTTATTGTGGATCTCCAGAAGTTTGTTCTCGGAGAGTAGCCTTAAATAACACGTGTTGGTATTAGAGCTATTCAAGAGGCTATTAGGTTAGAGAGGGCTTACAATTCGGAAATGCGGGAAGCTCCCTCGAAGGAGTTCTCCTCGATGCCGGTGATCTGATTGCGGCGCAGATCGAGCTTTATCAGATTAGGCAAGCGACCGAAGAGACCATCGGATTTGATGCGGCCCAGTTCGTTGTCGTGCAGCAATCTGAGGCAAATAGAAAATAAAATGGAATAGACAAAAAAGTTTTGTAAAAGAGGATCTACTTACAGTTCGGTCGTGTAGAGCGGGATGTCTCTCGGGATCTCCTTCAGATTTCTTCCGGAGCAGTCCACGATGGTCCCGTCGCATGCACATCCTGCCGGACAAGCGTTGTCTATTAAGCATTCACCAGCGAATCTAGTCCTGAAATCCTCTTGGCCTGCGGACAATATAATGCAATTCAATTTCAGGAAAAAAGAACTCGCGACGAGCGCATCTCATTATGTCACCGTTACCACTGACGTTGAATGATCACGTGGAGGTGCTTACCCTTACATTTGAACATTTCATTTTTCAAGCTATCGATACGTTTCCTTTGCATTCGCTTCGGAGTATCGCATCTTGCACCAGACGTTTCTATCGGATTCTTCAGCAGATATTCCGCCAGCCATCGTAGATTACAGTCGCATATAAACGGATTCCGTGCTAAATGCCTTCAGAACATAATAAAAATGACATATAAAAGATGATTCAATCGCATTGCAATCATACTCACAAAGTCTGTATGCTTCTCAAGGAGTCAAAGCTTCCGTTTGCAAGAGATTGAATATTGTTATCATAAAGAGACCTGCAACAAAAATAATCATTTATTGCTTAGAAATATTATTTTCGTGGATGCAATAAAACTAATTTGTTTACAAAAAATGAAAACTATTTTATCCATGTCTACCATAAATGTTTTAAGAGCTTGAAAATGCCAAAGTAATATAATAAAAAAAATATTACCACGAAAAATGTAAATGAATATATAAACTTTTATTTACTAAGATAAAATTCGAAAGTCTTTAGTTTAAATTCAAGCGACTTTTGTACTGATCTCTTAAAAAAATGTTGGTAGGATTTTTTTAACAATTCTCGTAACTGCTCTCATAACAATAATATTTTTTTATGAAAATAACAGGAGATGTTAAGTATACTTTAAAACTGGTGATTGTATTACTGGAATATGTTTATAACGGTCATAATTCCAAGTACTTATTTATTGAAACTATTCTAATTGCTGCAAATATTATTGGATACTCACAACAAATTTAAAGCGGGCAAATCCTTAAAGGTGTCCCTCCGGATGCACGAAATCTCGTTGGCGTTGAGCAACCTATGCAAGAACAATAACAATTTAGGTTACAGCGTTAAACAACAAAAAGCGTTGAAAAGTTTTTTGTGTTTATGTGTTTGCGCGACGACGATGCGTTTAATGGCACGCTAAAGATCACAATCGTCGGGACTATATTGAAATACTTACAGCAGTTGCAGAGATACTAATCCCTGGAAAATTCCCGCCGGCAGATCTTTAATCTTGTTGCCGTACAGCACCCTGAGGAATACGAGAAGAAAAATGGCATTAGATGCGCAAAATCGAGACATATTTCAATTACGACGTTAACAAAGTCGCTCGAATCGGAAAAGCTGAAACGAGGTGTGCAAATGACGATGATAATGATGATGATTGTAACTTACAATGATTTTAATGCCTTCAGGCCTCTGAATGCGTCGCTTGCGATCTTATTGATTTTGTTGGTGCTCAGGTCACTGTAAATAAAATATTTTTTGGTGTCAACGATTTTTATCCTTCTGGACATTATTAAGTTGAGAAGTTGAAATTAGGATTCGCGTACAATACATTTTTACGCAGCAATTCACTTTGAACTTTGCAGACAATTTAAATTCCAAATGGGATTCGTTCATTTTAATAATTAAGTTCAAATGTGTATGTCCAGACTTTGCTTAAATATTGGGTTGGAAATATGAAGAAAAAGAAACGAATATTAAGAAAGAAGTTGATTTTTTTTTACACTGAAGAAATTGCAAGTTGATGAATATTTCGAGTTGGAAAAAGTGGAATGTTCACAAAAACTGTTCCAAAAATTATACAAATTTTTATTTCTAATGTTTTATAACTAATGTTTGATTTCTTAAAGTCATCAACTAATTAAAAACTTTTATATTATTATTTAAGTATCGCTAAATAGAACCAATTATCTCACTTTAGTATAGAATTGTATGAACTTGATTAGGACTTTGGAAACTTTTTTCATTCAATCTCGTTTCATTTTTTGTCGGAAACAAACTGCTGCAATTGACGAAGGGCGAATGATCGCGAGATCTAAAAGGGTCTTTCTCCATTAATTTAAGATCCACTCTTTTCACGACCTACGCCACCCCGATCAATTACATAGGTCGTTGCTGAAAGCGAAATCCGGTGATTTATATGTATAAAAAATAGAAGGAGCAGGAAGAGAAAGATCTTCCCGGCTTTTTTTTATATATTTTTTTCTTGAGGAAAAGGGGAAATTAAGCGACCTCCCTTTGATCGATAAGTGGATCAGAAGGTAATGCCAATAAATGGCAGCGCTTGGCCAATTGGCCAGAACGGATTGGAACTTGTAACTTACATCCTTTGTAGCCTTTTGTGCGCCGAGAACGCTTTCTGTGGTATTTCCGTGATCTCGTTCTGCTCCAATCTCCTGCAAAACGGAAACGATTCATTAGCTTTACCGAAACATTAAACCACTTATATACGATATAAGTATATACAATGTAAGACTTTTTTCTGTGATTTAATAACATAGCTTATTGTTCTACATTGGAATTGGTACTCATCTTATTGTACAATTTCTTATAATAATAATGAAACTGATACAAATAAATAATTGAAACTAAAACTACAATAGTCCAAAGTGGCATAAAATTCCTAAATAATTTCGACAGAAACGCAGCTAAAACTATATTACTCATAACTACTACAACAATCCTAATAAAAGTAGTAGTAATTATATGATAAATGTTATAACAATGTTACTGTTATAGTATTAATTAAAGGATAAGACAATTTTTTTAATTATATTATTGGGAGACGTCTCTGCACAATGGCAAGAAACAGTCCCACTGATACAAAAATTTCGTGCTGGGTATGTCTTGATTTCCATACCCCACGAACCTAAAAGGAACATGTACTATGACGAGCAAGCACCCTTTTTAGAGCAATTTTGCTATATCGGTGACTACTTCAACAAAGCAAACGAACAAAATGTTACGAGGAGCATCCCGCACCGCCACCTGGTCGTCGCTTGTTGGAATCGTTGTGTTCTGAACGCTGATAACAGATAGCGCCACCGTGTCCATACTTACAGTTCGGTCGTTCCATCGGGAAGGTGATCGGGGACCTTGCCGAGAGCCTTTCCGCGGCAATCCACTATCCCGTCGGCGCAGCGGCATGGATGCGGACACTGGGGTTCGCTGATGCACTCGCCCGTGAGTGCTCTCTCCACTAATCCTAAAAAGACGAAGGGAATGAAAACAAAAGACCCTACTTTTTAAGCGACCTCTTAAGATTTTTCTTAATCCTTCTACTTACCCGTGCATTTGAATTCCTGCTCGAGCAGTTCGGAGACGCTCTGACCCTTCAGGTGTCCCGGCGAATGGCACCACGTGTACTGCGCCAACCTAGGCGAATGCTTTAAATACCTGGCCAGCCAGGATAGTTGGCAATCGCAGTGCAAGAGGTTGTCGCTCAGACGCAGCGTTCGCAGCCTGAACATGTTGCTGAACATATCCTTTCCAATCCATGTTAAGTTGTTGTTATTCAATGTCCTAAGAAAACACAAAATGTTCTAATAAACTTCATTGTTAAAACAGAAGATATAATATATTAACAACGTATAGCTCAATATTTCTTATGAAAATATTACAACTAACATATGACATTGAATTTAAGTTAACATAATAGCAATGCAATGAACAAAACCCATCCAATTATACACATTGTTAAGAGCATAGATGTCAGATAACAACAGGAATTATTACACAGTACTAGAATTATTATCACTATCATCGGAGTCTAGTTTCATACGTTATAAAGATATAAATCAGTAAAAATTATATTACAACTAAAAATAACTGTTGATTTTAATAACAGTTTTAATGTTAATATTCAAAAAACACATTTTAAAATATTTATAATGGTATAAAAGCAAATAAACGGAGATTAAATTAAAAAAAAAATATAAATAATAGTCGAATATGATTAAATAAAGAACAATATACTCGAATCTAACAATTTTAGTTTTAACACATAAATAAAAATGTGAATCAATCGAAATTATTATGTTATTATATACTCGAATATAATAAAAAAAAAACTCACAGTATTTCCAAATCCTTGAAACTCCTCAATGCTTGATCGTCGATACACGTGACGTGATTGTTATCGAGTTGGCTACACAAAAAAACAAAATGCAAATTAATGACAAATAGGAGTTGTAATCTATATTACTTACAGGTGCTTTATAACGGAAATTCCACGTAACGTCTTTTTGCCAATAACAGCGATCTTGTTATGACTTAAATCACTGTAAAATATATATAGTAAATAAAATGTTTGAATGGTAGAAAAACTTGATAAATTGGGATATTCCTTTTATGAAAAAAAAAGTGTCACCAAAATAGTCTTATTTCACTACTAAATAAATATATGCAATAAAACAACAACTGAATTTTCTATGAAAGGCTACCTTTACTTCGAAATTTGGAAACATTCATAAATAAAGTTTGTTTAAGCGCGATTTCTCCTCTGAATTTATTTTGAATCAAATAATCGAAAATGTATTCAACATTGTTTTCTGTTACTTGATTTTAAGTAAATATATAATATATTTTATATGCGTCCATAGTTAAAGGTATAATATACTTCTGTAAATAACCATAAGTAACTATATAAAAATTTGAATTTTATTTTTTATGAATAGAATAATTTGCAGTAAATCAAATTCAATTTTGTATGTTATTTACTGCTTTTCACAGCCATTGATTATATTATCATGTAGTGTGTAGCCAATTTAAGTTAATTCAAGTCGGCAAGTTTTGCGTAGCTTCTTTAAGAATAAAATATATTAGATTGTGGTTCTGTCTCTCAAGAAACAATCAAAGTTCGTCGTATCGTTATACTAAGATTGTGCATTCGCATATTGAGTTGAAGCGACAGTCGCGTTCACTTACAGTCTCAGCAGATGCACCATAGTTGAGAAGGAGTCGTCTGGAATGTGTCGGATGTTGTTGCCGTTCAACCGCCTGAAAACAATGCAATAATATAATGGATGATGGTTCGAGCAAGAATTCCCGAACTTACAGTCTTTCCAAAGCGACGAGGTCCTGGAAGGCATCTCGCTCGATGGTGTGGATCTGGTTGTCCGTCAGCTGTCTGCAAAAACAAAATATCGCATCCTGAAAAACAACCGCAACCGGCTGAATGTTAAACGAAACTACTTACAGAATCCGCAGCTTGGAGAGATCCTGGAAATCCGTGTCGTAGATGACGGTGAGATTGTTGCCCTGCAGGTCTCTGCAAAACGGAGATCAATTGAATAATTAATAATTACGCTTTCGTCGAATGAGGAGTGTAGCAGCACGATGTTACCACCGCTATTGTGTATTGTGCGTTTTGCCGAAACGCCCTTCACCCCTTTTATTGTAATAGGAAGAACAAAGCGCGCGGTGATTTAATTAAAATTTAATAATTCAATAAGCACGGGGAGAGTCCGGGGGAAGGGGTTGGGTCGGTTTGGTCGCAACCACCCCTTGCCCCACCGTTTGTTCGTGGGCTTTGCCTTCGGGATGGGATTAATTACCAGCGTCGAATCCAGGCTCTGATAAATCAAAGCTGAAGAACGGCTATCCCTCATCAAACCGGAAATAATTGAGGATCGTCTTGCAACGCGAACTTCAAAAATTGAGACGTCATAAGCAACGCGCCCGCGTTCAAAACAACATACGTTCGAGCGTGACAAATGCTCATTTGCGCCACCACAGGGAAGGGTGTTTATGTTAATTAGTTTGCAATCTCACGCGACACTGGATTATCGTTTTTCCGCGAAAAGGGCCGTTTTTATTGAGGCGTATTGAGAAAGAGATATGTGGTGCAACAGAAACGACAATGGCAACGGCTGAATGAAAAAAAGGGCGATGGCATGGGAAGAGAAAGCGACAGGAATTTTCGAGGCCCATAATTCACGCGATAACGCATCTCACTTAAAATTGAAATAATTTACTGTTTCGCAGCTTACGACGGGAGAAAAAGGAAATAATACGAACCAATAGTCTCTCCTTATATGTTCGAAACACGCAATACGATATACAGAAAACTTGAATGCGAATGCGTGCTGCGTGTTGTAACAGCAATTTGGAATGGTTTTATTCCATTTTTATTTTTTTACCAAAAACTATTTGCATTTATTTGTAACGCTTTTAACCTTTTCCTTTATCTGCTTCAGATTACAGAAAATTAATTTCACAAGCTATTAATAAACTTCTATACCAAATATAAGCAAATCTTAAATAGTTTCAACTGAGGCTTAAGTTTGAAATATGTCAAATGAATTAATAATTAGATATTTTTATGGGCAAATGATTTTCTATTGCATATTTATAGATCATTTTGTTTTTAAATGTTTCACAATAATTGTTAATAAATAGAGAAAAATTTATATTTAATTTATATTAATTTATTTTAGGGAACATCCTCTGGAACATTTCTAAATAGAATCAAACGTATTTTAAAATAGGATTTAAGGATAAAGTGTCAAAGCTCTTTCTGTTATTTCAAGTCATTTAAGTCAGGTAGTTCAGGCACGAGCAAAGAACTTGAAATTAAGTTTAAGAAACTTTAAAAGCTGTTAGGTTACAAGTTGAAAGGATTGATAAAGAACACATTGTTAATACACAAAGACATTTTGAAACCTATTTGGTCCTATGACTATACTTATGATTAGCTCTTCTTATTTATTATGTTATGGAAAAGAAAAATTATAGTTGGAAAATCTATGATAATCAGTTTATATATCAATTTGCTTATTAACCATTTTCAGTAGGTATATCTGACTTAAATTTATGTCTCATATTTGGTAATGTTCGAAAGCAAAGCAAAAGATTTAAGTTTTTCATACTAATATTTGTATTGTAAAAAGTTTTATTTTAGCTTGCATAAAACATAACAGTTGAAATGTAACTTTTTGCTTCGTGTGCGCAAAACATTGAGCCAAGATTAAATAAGCCGGAAACGAAAGTTTCGGCACCCAAACTCAAACTGGATTGCTAATTTCAGCGTGATTTACCATCATATAAATTTCGATTTCTCTTCTTAAAGACAGAACATACATTATCTATTACAATAAATTATGGTCAGTTTCATGATTAAATAATGACTAATATTGTCAGGTACTTTTTTCCATTAATAAGTTCAATAATAAGCACTAATTTCAGATTATTTTCATTATTTTGTATAGCTATGTTGGAAGGTTTCTTTGCCAACAGATCATTGACCTTTGAATTAATTGAAGTTGCTTCATATTTACTTCAAATTTGTCAACATTGCGTTGCGTCAACTATTACTTTTTAATTAAAGGATTTAAGTGGTTAACTTTAAATATACATTGTAAAATCACTTGTACGTACAATATATGTTTTTTTTATTATAATTATTATATTCAACATATTAATTTAATCGACAATGATACTTGGACATTTCAAAAACATTGACAAATAACATCATTTTTTTAATAAATCAAAATATTTCATGGTTTGTTAAACACATAATTTAAGTTTTCACATTTGTATGAGTTCCCTTCGGCGAACGAAGAAAATGCAATTATTTGGAAACCTTAACTTGTATGAGAAGAAAAAGTGATTAGAGTTTGCCGTTATTCCGCCGTTGAACTTTGCCCATCCGAGATAACGAAATTTTCGGCGGCGCGGAAAATAAATAAGTTTTTGCATGGATACGTTTCGGTTGCAGGACGCGTCGGAGCGGAAGGACGACTCCCGGAGAAGAGACTCACAAAAGACAGACGAAAAACGAAGAAGAAGGAGTACAGGAGGAGGCGGAAGGGCACGGAGGAAAGTGGCGCGAGACGTGTATAAAATGTGCAGTTGATTACATAGACTAACACGGTATGGAGTAAATGTAATTGAATTTGGGGGAGCGGAGTGTGCCAGGAATACCAAACCTGATTCACTATAAAAACAGTGACTTACATTCAACTACTACTACTACCATTTCCATCTCTCTCACTGTCTCTCTCTTATTTGCTTGTATCGCTCTGTCTCTATCTGGCACACGGACCGCGCTCCCCCTGTAGCGTTTTAACACCAATTTGTTATAATTCGATTACGTCGCTCGGCCCGTTCGCGATTAAATAATCCCATTAGGTCATTTGCATTTTAAATATGCCGGATTGAATTTACCGGCGCGGCCATTCTTGTTTCCGCCTGAAAAGAGAAATACACAAGTTTGTCGCCTATTTTTTGTTGTTGCCAATATCGAATGAATAGAAACGTTCAGTCGATATTTTACTTTTACAATTTTCGAGTTACTTTCAAACTCAATCAGTTGTGAGGAACACTAAAGGATTGAAATAAAGAAAAATATATAATCCATTGACTTAAAATACTTCATAAATTATTTTTTTCAAGAGAAGCAATTTTAAAACTCATTATTATGAACATTCCTATATTAAATATGATTATAAGTTTCTCTAATAGTTTTGTTAAATTGTGTACTGTATTTGAAACAATTGACTTAAGTCGAAATACTTTTTTTTATAGATTTATGTAGATACTGTTCAAATATCAATAAATATTTCATCATGCTTTTTGAATGATTTAAAAACTAGATTTAATTATATAAACAAAATTAATTAAAAATGTATCACGTGAATATTTCTTTTTTTTTATCATAATATAAATGTTTTAGAGTACATTTGATAAATTCTAGATATAATAAAGAAAAACGAAACAAAATACTTCTATTGCAGCATTTATGGATGTAATATATCGATCCTCAATTGAAAAACGTCTTGTTTGTTGCGAACAATCAGACAATCGGTCGGCAGATTTATACGAATTTCCTGCAACAAGAAATTCAGTTTGCAAGCTTTTATTTGTATTATGCCGCACGGGAAAAATAAAAAGATTGGTAGTTGCGGTTTATTTATTGCGAAAAAGGAGCGTAATAAATTTTGAAAAACCAACCGTATATACATGTATGTGTGTTCTGAAAAGTAAGGGGCTGCGTGTAAAGGCATCGGCCATATATCACAAGAGAATAAACACAGACACGAGTTTAAGACAATAAAGATACCCGATATTAGATTTATAGTGGCATCGATGTATTTCGCGATACAATTGCGGCGGGTGGGTGGACCTCGGAACTTTCTCCACTGCGGAGGAGAGATCCTTGTTCCACTTGTTCCCACGGCAGGAGGACGAGGAATCGTTTCTGCTTCTTCGTCTTCTTGTACATATTCTTCTTCATCTTGTTCTTGTTCATGTCTTCTTATTCGCCTCCTCTTTGTTACCCCGCTGTTAATAACAAGGTGAAGCCAGTGCAATATTCTTTCCTTGTTTCTGCTCGGCCTTTACAATAAATCCGCGCCGGATTTCATATCCGAACGGCCACTAAATCTCAATTAAAGCGTTTTAAGGGGAGGTCCCGAATACTGCGTGTGCACTCTCTATCTCTCTCCTTCTTTCTCTCTCTATCTCGCACATACATCCACCATGGTTTTCTCATTCGGGTAACATAAAATTGTCTCCGTAAAAAAGGCGCATTAACCCCGAGGCCTCTCGTAAAGAAAGAGCGCTCGGCTTGTTCTTCTTTAACGGCCGATGTCGCCTCTCCTTCCTCAGCAAGGGCTTAAGTCCTGCGATATGCATTTAATAACGGACTTTATGGCTCGAACCCCATCAGGGCATGTAATCTTCTTGCTCTCGTTCTTCGGTCATTCGCTGATTGCCTTTCGCGGTTCGGATTACTGGGAACATGATGCGAATCAATTGAAGGAATTCAACATTTTTTTTGTTACTTTACACTTTTCGTAAAAGTGTATTTTTATTGAAATTTTAGACTAAGGAATGCAGGTATCCCCGACTTACGAACTCCCGGACCTACAAAATTCTAAAAGCTCTAACTTGTTACAAGGAGATATATACTGATAAAAAATTAACTGTCCAAACAAAAATTGATAATTTCTTTAATAAAATATAATATTTTTGGCACAATCTTTTTTGTTGCATTTGTTTGTTTTGTCGTTTTTTATTAAATAATTGTGATGTCTACATTGAAAAGTATTTGTAAGTAAGTATTTTGTTTATTTTAATCTATTTTTTTCAAATTTATGCGGACAGTAATACTGAATTTAACATATATAAAAGTGAAAATCATGATAAAGTGTAGTAAGATAAGTATATTTTGAAAATTTTAAAATTCCCTCGACTTACGAACCCTTTTCCTGTATTTAAAGAAAAAGCTTGCTTTGCATTATTTGAAAAATGAATATTTATTATCACTATATAACGTATACATTCATTTTCACATTGATTTCTGGCTAAATGAGCACAAGCTCACATGTACGCCACCCCTTAAAAAATAACTCTATGTATGTATCTACTCTTAATAAATACTTTTAAACTTCAACTTCAAAAACTTTCACATTGATTGTCTCTATAACTAAACCAAATATGTTGACTATAGTAACTTATAAAAAAAATCTGTTCATTAAAACTTAACAACAATATGTATTAAATATTCCAATAATGTTCTAACTCAACTCTTTACAATTAGATTAAGAAACATTATTTATATAAGAAAAGCAATATTTGAAAAATGAACACTATAAAGATGTTTTTATTTAAAATCAATCTGTTAAGTAATGTAAAATGAAAAACAAAATAATTCATGCAAGATCAACAAAACAACGTCTTTAGAAGATTTTTGATATGCCTTTAATAACGGACATTATGGTTAGTAACAACATCAGCACTAGAGATCTTCTTGCTCTGCTCTCGTTCTTTGGTCAATTGCTGATTGCCTTTCGCGGTTCGGATTACCGGGAACATCATGCGAATCAAATTTGTGGCACATGGCATGCTGTAATTCGCTCCGAACCTATATTATTATATATACACACACACACATTGACTCTTTCTGTCTGTCACTCTATATCTATACATGTTTCTCTCTCACACACGCACGCACTATCAATATATCTATATATGTATGCACGGGATGGATAGATACACATTTGTACATGTGTATGTATGGCATGCACATAGCATGGGGATTGTGTCAGTGATCGCATCCGCACTCTGCATATTAATATCACGTCAGTGATTTATTATGTCCACTAGTAAACGCCGGCACACGATTTCATAATTTACAATTAAATATTAATTGTCCATTGAACCGAATCCTCGTGTGCTCTCGCGCACATCTACACAAAGTGCATAACATATCGGATACATCGATGTTCATGTATTATATGGTGGTGTATCTATTCTCACTCTTCATTTCTCAATACCTCTCACTCTCTTTTTCTGTCTGTGTCTTTCTAGCTCTCAGGATGAAAGCGAAAGATGCAAGGTAATGATGTTATGGCGAAACTTCGAGGAGGAAATTGAAATTTATATTCCCGCCGTTAAATCATTTCTTCCGTGCGCAGATAAATCCAGCCGGCGTCGGCTTTAACTTATTCATGAAGACATTTATAGAATTCTAATACATCATTAAGCCGCACCATATATTATGATTCCTAAGCGCATTACAAATTTCATATAGTAAACACGCTTGCTTTACATTCGTTCTAGCCTGTTTCTTTCAGTCATCTATGGCATGAGTTTACCCATACCTCATGAAAAAGTCATTTACTGTTTATTACCAAGCTTAACTAGCGGAGATACTGTATTTGCACAAAAACATAAATCGACGTCCCCTATTTAAGCTATTTATATCAGAACTGTACACAAATTGACTGCTCTTTATATATGATTTAATTTTATCTGCAAATTGAATTCTATTTATATTCATTATAAGCCTATTTTGAATATAATACAATTATGTTAGAAATAATGAAATATATACTTATTTTAAACTCACATCTCTAAATTCTATAGATAAGATTATTACATATTATTTGAACCATAAGATCTATTTTTTTATGAAAAGAAATCGACTTTCCATTCCATATATAAAGATTACCAAGATGTTACCAAAAATATAAATATTGAATGCAGAACATTATTTAATTGAATATATATTTTTTTTAATAAAAATCTAATAAAATAATAAAAAGTCCACAATAAGCACCATTAACACTGTTATTATTTTATTGAAGTTGACTGGTTACGAGTATCTTTATTACTGTTAAGATGAACGGCAGCCAATAATTGCAGTTGCATATTCAAGTGGTTTAGTAGACGGTCCCTTAAAACCACTTGAACTGGTCTGTGTAATCTTACAATGGTAGTACACCATTGGAGTTTTGAAATTTGCGACATTCCAAGCTTAGTGGCAATATTATCGTTGCATTTGCGTCGGAAGTGTGCAAACACGTAAATGGAATTATGTAAAGGCGGATTTCGACTGTATCTCTTGTGTTGTCGTTGGCTTGAACTTGGAGAAGGGGGAGGTGGGGTTTGTGTAGCGGAGCACGCAGAGCGGCATCGATTGCGTAAGATATGGATGGAGTGTCATTTTTCCTTGCCGAGCAGAGGCAATATATTACAATCAATTGGCTTACGAGCCGAAAACTATTTATCCTTAGTTCTCCTCTTCCTTTGGTTGCTGCTGACGCGCCATTAGTTACGAAAGTATATCAAAGGCGCTGGTCGTGATGGATTAAATTGTCGCAGATATCCAGTTCGGATTAAGAACGGGAAGCCAAGCACGGTCAAACTGAACCAATAACATCAACATCGTCCTTTATAGTTATGGAATGTTATTACATATAATAAAATTGTATTATTTTCATGTCGAATTAAAACATTCGGTCTCTGCGTTTTAAATCGTTTTAAACTTTGCTCTTATTCATTACCTTAACTGCATTCAAAAGTTACGATTAACCTCTTTTACGTCTACATTGCTGTTGAAATATTTAAATTATCCTAATCTTTTATGTGCTTGTTAGCAATATTAAATATATTTCATATCTAGACTGTTTGACTATGAAAACAAATTCTTCATGACTACATAATTTTTGTATGTATCAGTACCGCACCGCATAATGAGTAATGTTTATTTTACTTAAAAATCATATTTCGAACACTTTCTATACACGATAAATAGTTTGTCGTAATTATCAAGTATCTAGTTGTATTTTCATGAAACGTCTATGACTATAACTTTGTAAGTATCAGATTGTATTTATTATTCTATACTTTTTTTTGGTACTTCATTCTGGACCTTTACATTACGTAGGACTCGTTGTTAGAACACTTTTTCTATAAATTCATATGTATATATATCCATAGCTTTTGTAAATACTAGTGACTATCCAGAAATACTATAGTTTGTTTGGTACCCAATTGTGGATCTTTATGTTTGTAGCGAGCAATATGTGCCGGCCTTATTGGGTCGTTGGCGTTGGAAATTTGGAGGAAGAATTGTGAAAATATTTGTTGTCCAGCCGGCGGGAAACGAATCCTTTGTGTGCGTCGTCATGCGTGATTGACGCGAGTTTTGTGCACAGATAATCGTAAAATTGTTTCGGCCTGCACCTGATGCGCCAACGATTATTTTCGCGGTCCACCGGACACGTAATGATCGAACATTCCAATTGCCAGAAAAGTAATTATCGATGGAACGCCTTCGATTCCGAGGCAAAAAAAATATGTATATATACAGAGCTCGCGGGGGGAGGTGTTGTGTCCCAGCCCTGCAGGCAGCCGATGGGATCTAGGTGTGCACTTTGTGCATCGATTTGCACGCATTGTCCGTGAATTTGGCGTAATCCGCTTTAGTCCTGGAATATACACATATATACATATATGCATACATACCCACACGCACATACACACTCATGCATACAGACGTGTGCAGAGATAAAACCACCACTATGTACTGGCACGATGTGTATGGAAAGTGCGGTTGATTGCTGCATTGTGGCAAACCCAAGGAGCCCCAGGTGCTCGGAGCGGGGTCGACAAACCCTCCTCCACCTTTTATCCACTCCTTCACCTCAAAGACACGGCCGAACTATGAACTCCAGCGGAACACATCAACCGTGACCGAGCGATGATTTCCACCTCTTCGACGATTTAGTGCACACCCGGAGATTGTGTTTCCAATCGAATTAGACGGCCTGAGGGGCACCGAATGCATCTATCAAAACAAACGCCGGCAATAAAAGGCCGGCTCTAAATGGCAGCACTAATCCCACCAAAATCCCCCAAACATTTCGCTCCGTCGACTCTCCTCGATGATTTCATGTGCTTGCTTTGCTTTCTTTTCTTCGTACAAAAGATATTATGTATCTGCAGAAAATACGGTGGGGT